CACATGTGTGACCTATTTATTTCACTTAAGAGTATGGCCTCGGGCCAGGGATTTAGCTCAGTGGTTCCGCCGCCTGCTTCGAAAGCCAAGGACCCCAGTTCGATCCCCAGTACCAAAAAAAAAAAAAAAATGGCCTCAATATGCATCCATTTAGCTATAAATGTCTCTAATTTCTCATTCCTTATGGGTGAGTAGCACTCCATTTTATAAACAAAAACCCCACATCTTCTTTATCCAGTTTCCAGTTGATGGGCACTTGGGCTGTTTCCAAGCTTTAGCTATTACGAACTGTGCCGCTATAAACATGAGTGCACATATATCGCTGTGGTATGATTCTTTTCTTTCTGACTTTTAACCTTATCTAGGTCTCCTGGTCTCTTCTTTGATTTGTCCATGACTGCATATTCCCTTTCCACTGACATAGTTCACTGCTGAGTTAGCACATTGATCTGGATTATACAGAGACTTTAATGTGGCAAAACTGTAGACTCTGAAGATTAACAGTAAAATTTAGGCTTGGTTACTTGCTAATGGTTAATGTAATGTATGACTGTAGTTCTTTGTTTCTTGAAGTATTTGTTTTGCATGATTTGTTCTCGGTAGGTTTGTGGGAATGATTGGAAGACCAGTTGAGATGAATTATTGGTCCTTGAAAAACTGAATGCTGGGGTAGTCATAGGTCATCATGACCAAGAAGAGCATGAAAGCTTTCAGTCAAAGCCAGAGTGAGCAGTAGAAGGGACTGTGATTCTCTTCTTGAGGCTTTATCAAGCTTGTATCCTGGAGCCCCTTTGTTTCCTGGGTATGCAGGAACTTTTCTTTCTTTCTTTTGTACTAGGGATTGAACCATCTGTACTCTACTACTGAACTACATCTCAGCTTCCCTGGTAGCTGGGATTACAGGCATGTGCTACTGTGCCTTGAGGGAATTTACTTTCTTTTTTTGGAATTTACTTTCTTAATGTTGAATAAGTTGATACTAAATAAATTGTTAATATTTGGGTTTATTACCCTAAAAGGGTTGATTTTCTTTTTGACATTTCATTTCAAAATACACACACTTTTAATTCTTTTTTTTTTTTTGGTACTGGGGATTGAACTCCGGGTCCTTGCACTTGTGCAGCAGGTGACGAAACCACTGAGCTAAATCCCCGGCCCTAATTCATTTTTATTTATTTATTTATTTATTTGGTACTAGGGATTGAACTCAGGACCTTGTGCTTGCCAGGCAGGCGTGGTGCCACTGAGCTACATCCCCAGCCCATGTAATAATTTAATATTTAAAAAATTTATCAGGTCAGGGTGCCACTGCCTGCCTCACAAGCACAAGGTCCCGAGTTCAATCCCCGGCACCAAAAAAACAAAACGAACAATTTATCAGGTCATGAAACAGTTCCATGTTATCGGTGCTATAATTAATTTTAGTTTATATGTGGAAAGGTTGCAAAAATAATTTCATCAAGTTAATGCTTCTATAATTTACCTCTTTATAGAAGTTATTGATGTTGGTAACTTTAATGTACATCATTATATTATTTTCTTAATTATATCTCTAGGATAAGTATTGCAATTCATTATTATGGTGAAGGATATGAACATTTTTATGGTTTTTGATATATATTGTCATCCTATTTTCAAGGGTGTTGTTCCACCTTGTACTTTTAACAGATATATGGACGTTCCTGTTTTACCTTAGATGAGTTAGGCAGAAATCCAGTTTTTCTTCAGAAGGTTTTTGGTAATTTAGTAGTGTAAAATGGCACTTGCATTTCATTGATCTGTAATATTCAGTTTAACTATTTGAGTCTTGTTTGTTCATATCTTTTTTCTTTTGGTACCGGGGATCAAACTCGGGACCTTGTGACTGCACAGCAGGCGGCAAAACCACTGAGCTAAATCCCCAGCCCAATATCTTTTGCTATATTATGCCATAAACTATTGGTGAGGGCTTTGGGTCATAAGGCAAGTAAAACCAGCTAATAAAGGGGTAATTGTTAGAAAGATAAAGAGAGGATATTCAGTGAAAATGTTCATAAGAGAATGTGGTCTAAATGTTAAGTGATCTTGGGGATAGTAGTTGAAGGGGAACAGATGGGTTATTCTAAAATTCAGCTCAGCATCTTTGAGCATCTACTACCTGCTATACACTGTGTTGTATCCTCTGAGTGCTTCTCAAGTTACTGTCAAGGCATATACTGGGATGAAGAAGATTGCTTGAGGCTTAACCAATTAAAGGTTCTGGCTTGTTGTCTCTTTGTGGCTGCTTAGAGGGCTGAGACCACAAATGTGTAAGAAGACGTCTTTAAGTCACTGGTGGCATGTCAGCGTGTCATGGCTCTGTTTGAGAGGTGGAAAGGTAAATAAAGCATTGTTCCTTTTGACAAGGAATTGATCATCTTGTACAGAGAGTAAGGGCAACAAAAAAATGAAAGAACTAGTAGAAATTTAATCGGTGCTGTAAAATGAGTTCAGACAAGGTGCTAAGGGATTAAGTGGGGGTGGGGAGAGAAACTGCCTTCGTGGATATCAAGGAATATTTCCACTGGAAGAAGTAGCCTTTAAATCTCAGAAAATGAGAAGCATTGCAAAGAAGGGCATGTCTAGAGGTAGTCTGGAAATGTGGATGTTAGGTAACTGCATATCCAACTTACTGGGTTCTGGGATATGTGAAAGGAACAAAATGGAACATGAGGCTGCCAGTGGGTCAGGATTGGATTTTGGAGGGTCTTAAATGTCAGACCTAGGATGAGTATAATCGTAGGGAGGAGAATTAAGGGAAGGACCCAAGTTGAGTTCATGGTAGTAGGCCAAGTTAGAGGTGATGAAGATCTGAATTGAATTGGTGCCCTTGGGAGGAGGTGTTTTAGAGGTTGAACAGAGAGAGGTATGACTGATTAGGTGGGGTAGGATTGGTGGGAAGCAGTTAGTTACATATCTCAAGTCAGAGATAAGATTGTTTTTGTTAGGGTTGGGAGCATGGAAGAATGGGCCATCAAGAACAAGGAAGTCAGGAGGAAGGATGGCTCTTAGATGTTTAGTGTAGAGAAATGATGAATTTGGTTGTGGGTGTGTTGAGTTTAAGGAGGTAGCAGAAAGTTAAAATTAAA